TTAATCAGATGTCAGGTGCATACTGTTTCTTTCTGCCAGTGTGCCGGAAAGTAGTAGGCCAATCAGCTTCGACCAAAATGAGGCCGTTTCTCGGTGGTCGCGATGTTACTCCCTTCGAGCGGCGTTAAAATCCTTCCGTGCAGAGAAAACAGGCACATCTCTTACTGTTATGAATTTGGCGCTTGCGCAAGTCAAAGGGACTACCATGCGTGGCGATTAAAGAGATTATTACAAGTCCATCAATTATCGTTCATTATCTTTTTGTTTCGCATTCATCGTTGTACTGAAATCCCTCAGAGAGCTATCTACAGAACTCGTCTGCTAATCTTGCCCGGTTTATTTAAGGCACATAACTCCATGCAAATGCAAATGATGATCACAATGCTGATGCAAAATCTAATGTTGACTTTTATACAGCCGAGAATGCGCCATAACTAATCTAAGTGCCTGTTTGATATGACGGAGTATGGTCGAGTGCACATTTCTGAGCAGCGACGCTAGTCCAGGTTTCTGTCAGAGCCTTGAAACGTCCGGTTAACGTCTCAGAGATGTCAAAGTGAATGCTTTCTATCATATTATCCGCTTATCAACAGCAGATGGGGTCAAAAATATCAAAAGCAGCTGCTCTGCTTCGTTTTAATGTCAGGATTTTTATTGTCATTTTAAATTTTGTTTATGTTGTAACGTTGCTAACATTTTAATGTGAAGCCACGTTTGCCCTCCAAACGGTACGTTCAGAATCGAATCTTACTACGTGGTTTCTTGTTCAGCATGTCGGAAAAAAAGCAACCGAAACGTTACAAGACTAGATTTATTCAAGTGAACTTCCGGGCGCTTGTTGCAAGAACCGGTAAGGATGCCGGCACCGAGGCGTCGCCTGAGGAAATCGAAGCTGCGGGCAAGGTACATAAGTTTCGCTTTGTTTTAGCTGCTCTGAGGCTATATATATATTGATCTTTCACGAAGGCTGAAGAAACTGTTTCTATTCTTGTCTACTCTTTGTGAGGTCATTCTTTTCCCACTGATTCACATATACCATCGGTGCATATATGTTCTATTATGAAATGATTTTTCAAATGATCTTGCAGTCACGATTAATAAGCCACTAATTCAAATCTATTAGCCGTACTTGTTGCAACATCATGCAGCTCTCTACTAGACGTTGGCTCGAGAGCATGCATTACGGTAAATGCCATCCTGACACAGAAAAAGAGGTTCATCACTTAACAGCTGGTGGGAACCTGTCAGAGCTAACGTTTAAGGCTTTCTCTGGGCCGGCAGTGTACGGGTACAAATGGTAGAAGAAAGACTGGCTGAACTAGGCACTGTTTGTTTGACGAGCAGCGGTCGGAATCATCGGTGTAAGGGCTGAACCAACCAATGATAGTGATCACTTCAAACATCAACAAGATTGGCATAAGGAAAGTTCATTCTTCCTTGCGCCGATGATCATCGTATTGGAAGTCCTCATCAGAAGTCCTTAATTCAAATGCTGGCATTGCATCCGTAAAAGTTAAAAAAGACAATTGAAAGTACTTTAGATCTTTCGTCAAATTTAAAACGCATCAGGTAGAAAAAATGAAATAGAAATAAAATAACAAAAAGCTAAAAAATATATTTATAGGCATAAAATCATATTGATTAAAAATTGAAATATTGCCATGTAGCTCAGACGATGCTTCGAACCAATTGTTCACTTTTAGGGGCAATCTGCAGGTCTGATTGAAAGACCCGCAAACGACTACGCCGCGTTGAAGTTGACAGGCGAAATCTTTGAGTCACTGAACGAAATGCTTCACTGCATTGCTGCAAACGACGTGAAGGTAGTCGAATTGCTTGCGAACGTGAGCAAGGTCTTCCTCAATCCGAACGCAAAATTCATCTTGACGACGGGAGTCATTGCACCATTGCCACAAGAGCCTGAAGACCTGGAAAAGCTACAGCATTTGGAACGTACCTTGGATGCTGCCATGAAAGCACCAGAGGTATGATAAGTTGTTTCGTAGATATTCAGCGTTCATGAAAGGCACTACACAAAAAGTTAATTGATTAACTATTTAATAGAAGTGGTGTGCATGATGACAGATCAAAACCACAAACCAGTACCCATCACTGATAGGTCACCTATATTGCATTGTGCATATATAAACCGCTTGTTTGCTGTTAAATTATAGTACTATATTTAGGAAGATTAATCGACGATGTCTGTTAGCTTTCGCAAAAGTGGTTGCCGTGAGCATAAAATGGTATTTCAATCACTGTGCAAAAAAATAATAGAAACAACGAAATAAGTTCAAAACTTGTACATTCACAGATTCGGTATCCTGGAGATGAGCCATTCACAATGGGTTGTTTCTGCCTTTTTGCCTCCATTGAAGCCTTGGCAAGAGATGGCTACGTTGACTGACCATACATTTTTCTAGGGCTGACGTAGCCTTCAGCCCACTCGAAGTTCCGGGATGTTCAGACACTGTTTTCTGCACCCAACATACCAGTTAATTTCAAACATTTTTTGTCAACCAGGGGTTAGCGAACCGGGGCAACTTACAATAGGTAGGGTAAAAATGAAATTCTTGGGGGTAATGACGCCTCAATAGACATAACTATATTATATAAGAAGCGCGTTTTCTGGTACGACGGAAATTGTTCCTCTGGCAGCACTGTATCTTGCAAATGTAATAGACGTGTTTAAGAGACGTCACTCCATGTTGAACTCCAAACAATTGGGTTGCCAATTTTAACCATATTTTAGTTGTTTGTTAGTTCAATAATTTGATCAATATATTTTCTCCTATCGTGAACATGTTCTCGCAGATAAGTTTGCAGACTCCTCGTTGATTGCACATCTCGCATATTTAGCTGATATTTTTGAATATGTAAATCATTCAGCAAAGAATTGCAAGGGAAAAACATCAGTATAATTTGAGCGCTTGGATCAAAGCTTTTATATTGGAGAGAGAATGCAGAACAAAACAAGATAACTGCCTTTTTCGAGTTAGCTTTGCTTTTAGAAGATTGTGAAAATATTACTTTTGACCACATCAAGGACATAATTATGCCGCATTTTACCAAACTCAAACAGCGGTTCTCTGATTATTTTCCAGATCTTGATTCGCATACTGTCAGTTGGACTATGGATCCCTCTAAATATGAAATTGTTGATGTGTTTTATGTGCCAGAAGGGCCTCAAGTGTTTGCAGGGGTACTTCTTGAATTTCGATCCAATAATGAAGCTCAATATTGAATTTCAAAACAAAGCAGATCGGTCATATTTTTGGATATTAAAGGCTGCAAAGGCTTTCATAATTGCACATGTCAAAAAGTTGCTGCCTTTTACAACAGCCTACCTTTGCAAACAAGGATTTTCCACTCTAATGAACATACAAACAAGGCAGAGAAATGGATTGGACCCGAGGACAGTAGTTAAATTGCTCTGACATGAAAGTGCCCCAATTTTGATGATATTTTATCAAAAATGAAAGAACGTGATTTCTCTAAAAACTGAAGTGAAAATGTTTTCAAATAAATCCTTTTGTTTCATGATAAGG